CTGATGGGTGATGATGGGGTCTCTTCTGCATGCTGTGGCCTCCACTTTCAGAGAGCAACTCACTGAGAAACAGAGAGAGAGAGAGAGAGAGAGAGAGAGAGACAGACAGACAGACACAGACAAAAACACAGACAGATACAGAGACAGACACAGAAAGAGACAGAAAACAACAGAAACGGAGACAAAGGGGGGCGGTGGGCAGACAGATAGACAGACACCAGAACCTCCGGGACATATATCCTGAGAAGTTAGGAAGCTCCATGGCCCTAGAAGCTTTAGCTAATGCTCTGTCCTTTTACATTTCATAAAAGGAAATGCGGGACTTCCCTACTCATATGACAACCACACAGTTAGTTCAGCCCTTGACTTCCAGGGAAGCTGGCATAATGAGTTCATGCTGTAGCCTTCTTTCTGTTCCAAATACACAGCAAAAATAAACAAAATAGAAAGAAATGATAAACAAAAGGACATAGCTGGGCCCTAGACCAAAGTGGATATGTCTGTGTATTAGAAGCAGATCAAACACGTGAAGTTGGACTGTGGTAGAGGGCTTGCCAGTGGGGTCTTCAAACAGCAACCACTGTCAGAGGCATGGTCCCTGGGAACTGGAGCTAACTCCATGCTACCAGACTTCTTGAAACCAGGACTGGGGGAGGCTCTCTGCTTGTGAAATGAAGCAGAGAATGGGAAAAAAAAAGTCTGGATCTCAAGCCTGGAGCTTGAGATCTGGGGAGATGAAGACCCACCTTTTTTTTTTTTGCCAGTCATGGGGCTTGAACTCAGGGCCTGGGTACTGTCCCTGAGCTTCTTTAGCTCCAGGCTAGCATTCTACCACTTGAGCCACAACGCCACTTCTGGCTTTTTCTGTTTATGTGGTACTGAGGAATCAAACCCAGGGCATTATGCATGCTAGGCAAGCACTCTACCACTAAGCCACATTCCCAGCCAAGACCTACTGCTTTTGTGTGTGTACAAATAATGGGGCATGAACTCAGGGCCTCACTGCTTAGCCTTTTCACTCAAGGCTGGCACTCTATCACTTGAGCCACACCTCTACCTCCTGGTAGAGGTTAATTATAGATAAGAGTCATAAGGATTAATCTGCCATCACAGGCTTCAAACTGGGATCTTCTTATCCCAACCTCTTGAATAGCTAGGATTACATGTATGAGCTAGAAGCACCAGCTTGACCAGGAGCTGCTCTCTGCTTTTGTGCCTGAACTTGTGATCTCCTCATGCCACTAAGAGGGAGAGGTCTAAAACACTGTCAACATCTGGTCTCTACTGAGCTTATGAGAATTGGAACAGGGTGAAAAGTAGAAATATGAAACCAAAATAAAAATGATCTTTCAACTCACTGTGAGGTTGTAAACCAAAACATATGGAAAATAAATAATGGTTAGAAAAATCAGTTCACAAAATCAACATTTGGAAAATGATTCACTTCAAATTAAATTTATTTGTGACAGTCTCACAGAATTAAAAATAATCCATAGGAGGCTGAACAAAAGGCAAATAAAAGCTGGGCACCAGTGGTTCATGCCTGTAATCCTAGCTACTCAGGAGGCTGAAATCTGAGGATTGTGGTTTGAAGCCAGCCCAGGCAGGAAATTGTGTGAGACGCTTATCTCCAATTAACTACCAGAAAACTGGAAGTGGTGCTGTGGCTTAAAGTGGTAGAGTGCTAGCCTTGAATGAAAGAGCTCAGGGACAGTGCCCAGGTCCTACATTCAAGCCCTACAATTGACAATAAAAAAAAGAGGGAGGGGGAAATAAGGCTTTATAGCATTGAAAATTGATGAGAAATGGGTGGAGGTAGAGTAAAAAAGAAGATAGATAAGTATGGGAAAAAATGGATAGAAATCTTAAAAATAAATATTCAATCATTGTAAAGATTGGAGAAAGGAGACCTCCACATAGTTGTTCAGGCAGAAGTTTATTAGCAGAACCAAACCACCAGCCTACACCAGATGGAGGGGTGCAGAGGGCAAGAGAGGTTATATAGGAAGAAGGCAGGGTGGAGGTGTGCCTGCAGTAGAGGGTGGGGAGAAGTGGCTACAGTGGATGTGGAAGTGAACTCAGAGGCTAGGGAAACTTCTGGCTGCTCCCAGGTATGCCAGTTACATAGGTGCTGGGTGGGTACTTCTAGAGAGAGTCACATGCATGGAAAAGAGCCATTCCCCCCCCCCCCCCCACCGAACATTCCAGCCTTTAAATAGTTATAAAGAGGCACCAATTCTCTGGCTACTTCCTGCTGGCAAGGGGTGTTGACAGGAAGTCCAGTACAGAAGGCAGCAGTAATGGTCCCTTGGTGGTGAACAAGCCTATACACCTTGAAAGAAATCTTATAAGGCAGGGGCTGAACAATAAGAAAGAAAAACATTAGGGCTGGGAAGGTGGCTCAGTGGTAAAGTGCTTGCCTTGCATGCATGAGGGCCTGGGTTCGATTCCTCAGCACCACATAAGCAAAAAAAAAAAAAGAAAAAAGCTGGAAGTTGTGCTGTGTCTCAAGTGGTAGAGCGTTAGCCTTGAGCTGAAGAGCTGAAGGACAGCGCCCAGGCCCTGAGTTCAGGCCCCCACGACTGGACCCCCCCCCCCCAAAAAAAAAAAGAAAAGAAAAACATTAGAGGGCCCACAAATGGCAGAAGGGTGGAAAAGAAAAAAATATGGATGACTCAGCTAGTTCCTGTCTCTTGTGTTCCAGGTGGTCCTGGAGTTGGTGGGTCATATCCCTAACTACTTCTGACTGATTAACATCTGGTGACTGGGTAGGGGAGAGCATGGTAGACTGGTTGAGTAACCAGTCAGAAGCTGGGGTTGAGTTATAAGACCAGTGGGAGGCCTTGATAATTTCCTATGACTGCACTATAGATGTCTGAACTATAGGGTATGGATGGGAGACCCAGGAAGCTGACAAGATAAACTATCCTGTGCAAATTCCTGCCTAGTTAGAAGAAAGACAGGTATGAACATTAGATAGGCATGCTTATGAGCTATTTTCTTTGGACTTCTTGACTCTGGTTAATTTTGAAAGGGCAAGCATAGAATAACTCCATTTAGGTTTTGACACCATTCCCTCTTATCTGCGCAGTTTTTCCAGCTGCCTCTGGATGACCCTAGTCACCAGGACAAGCTGTTTTTTTGTTTTTTGTTTTTTATTGTGAAAATACCATACAGAGGGGTTACAATTACATGGGCAAGGTAATGAGTACATTTCTTACCAAGCATTGTTGCCTCCTCCTTTGTTTCCCCTTCCCATCCTTTCCCATCTCCCCTCCCCCCCCCCCCCCCCCCCCCCAGGACAAGCTTTGTACCATGGTTATCTTCTCCTTGCTGAGACAATGTCCCCTTTGGGGTTTCTGATCCTTGCTGGAATGGCATGTTCCAGTTGACTGATGACATGTCCCACATTGGGTGACTGACATTAAATGAGAGTTTTTGCCAAGAGATCATGTTTTATTTCCAATTGAAGCAACAAGGAGATCAATAGAAATAGTTTTTAAGCAGGGTTTACCTGGAACTTGTTAAGAATGGAAGTTAAGTGGGCTGGGAAGGTGGCTCAGTGGTAGAGTGCCTGCCTTGCATGCATGAGGCCCTGGGTTCGATTCTTCAGCACCACATAAGCAAAAAGAAAAAAGCCGGAAGTGGCGCTGTGGCTCAAGTGGTAGAGTGCTAGCCTTGAGCTGAAGAGCTGAGGGACAGCGCCCAGGCCCAGAGTTCTGGCCCCACAACTGGGCCCCCTCCCCCCCCCCCCCCCCCCCCCCCCGCCAAAAGAATGGAAGTTAAGTATAGCCAATAAATACTTATAAGAGTTATTTAACCCTCTGTGGGTATGTCTAAATGCTGCAGGGGATCACATCTGTAATGACAAAACTCAATAGTGGTCATGATGAAAATTCTGCAGCAGCAACTGATTAAACAATTTAGTTAATTTTTAACTGAATATAGCACTTTAGAATATTAATTAAGCTTGAAATCATTGTCAGCTCTGTATCCAAGGTGGCTTACATACTAGAGAAATAGATATTAAACAGCTAAATATAGCATTTGAGTTAAAAAGTGTTTATCTGAAGGAACTTGACATAAACAAATACTTAAGTGAACTTTGGTTTACTTGACAAGCTTAATAATATTAAGCAATTAATGTAAGGTAATAACCCTACATTTGTATGGACCCAAATCTGATGAGCTTCTTTGCATTTTGAGTTTAAAACTTCCCATTTTTCTTTTGGTCCGTGGAGCCAGTTAAGTCTTGGTTACTTAGAACTGCATAGAACTGAATTTAAAACTGCCCAATTTCTTTTTTCTTTTGGCCTGTGGAACCAGTTAAGCCTTGGTTACCAGAAAACCTTTAAAGCAAGTTTGATAAAGGGACATATTAGCATACAAATTGACCTTTGAACACTTGCTAGAAGGATTGGAGTAGTAAGCTTGGTGGAAGGATGAGGGTCACATGACAAGCTACTACAAGGCCAAGATGGCAAATTTCTGGACAAGTCATGATGATAAGAAAACTTGACAGACAACAACCAAAGAAAGAAAGAAAGAAAGAAAGAAAACTTGACAGAGCTCTATTAAATAAGTAAGCAGGAAATCAGGCAAAAAGCAGACAGACAAGCAGAAAGAGGGTACTCTTTGTTTTATATATTTTTAATGCTTTATTGTAAATGAAAATTAAGAGACTACAATATTATTATGAAGCAGAAGGCACCCATTATAGGTTAAACTGACTCACTCTGTAGGGGGCACAAGGGCCACACCCACAAAGGTCATCAATAGTGAGATTACTGACAGCATGTCATCTACCATCTGAAATTTCACTTTAAAAACAAATTTAAGGGGACACTGGCTACTGTTGACCTCTTAGCCAGGGAATATAGAAGAGAAATCATCGACAGGTGCCTCAAGTCTCCACAAACACATAGTTTTACAGAAATAGCCTAAATTAAGCAAGAATGTCAGGTGATGTTGAAGCTTGCTCTTGAGAGGCAATCTGCATTTTAGGATGTTTGATCACACTCTTTCTTCTGCTGGATAGTTTCCTTTGAAGGAAGAGTGTTTTTTTCCTCAGTATTAGTTTTCTTCAGTTTTGATCTGTCAAACTTCTCTACTTCGGACATGTCTGGCCTATCACTCATCTTGAGTGGAGGCCTGGTGGCTCCCGCGAGGACGCTGGCAGGGGTAGAATGCTGGCTGGCTCCGAGCCGGTTGGGTCAAAGAGGGTACTCTTTTTTTTCTTTTTCTTTTTTTTGGGTCCGGTCGTGGGGCCTGAACTCTGGGCCTGGGTGCTGTCCCTCAGCTCTTCAGCTCAAGGCTAGCGCTCTACCACTTGAACCACAGCGCCACTTCCAGCTTTTTTCTTTTTGCTTATGTGGTGCTGAGGAATCGAACCCAGGGCCTCAGGCATGCAAGGCAAGCGCTCTACCACTGAGCCATCTTCTTTAACAGAGTGTAGGTACTCTCAAAGGGAGGGAGAGAGAGACAGAGAGACATCCTACTATATTTACAAGACAAAGAAAATTATCTTTCCAGAGGAGATGGCTGGAAGGCTTATGTGTACTCCCGTGAGTCAGCCACACAGGCCAGGCAGGTGCAGGGGAGAATGGTTGACAGAAGGAGTCTGCTTAGAGAGACTGACAGATAGGAGAATGAGCAAGGAGAGCAAAGAAAGCCTGAACATATCCTCTGACCATTTACCATTGCATTGGCAGAATTGTTGCAATAAAAATAAGACCTTTGGCCTTATGGAGTCCTTTAGAGGGAGTAAGGTGAGGACATGGAGGACAGGAGTCTGTGAAGATGTAGGGACATAGAGGGTTGGAGTCCATAAGGATGTAGAGGACATAGAAGACATCCCAAGGGAATGTCCTGGTTAGGGAGAGACTGATGGGACCCCACTAGAATAAGAAACATGGCGGGGGGGGGTGGTTAGGAGGAGTAGGGGAGTCTGGTGATAGAGAAAGGCAATAAGCAGGTGTTCCTATCCACCCAAAGTCTCTCTGGCTGAGAGTCAAATTTCTTGGTTCAAGTCTCCCTGAAACAAGAAGAGACTGGCCCAAAGGCATAGGGGGTCCCTCTGGGCAGCAACACATCAAGCAAACAGAGAGATCATGGGTAGGAGTCACTCACCAGGTATAGGCAGGAGACAGGAGATGGTGTAGTGAATGCGTGGCCTGCAAAAGGTCCCACAGTTTGGGTAGTTTGGGTCAGAAGAGAGAGAGTCAGAGGGGATCCTGTAATTCCCAACACTATCCCCTTCTGGGTTTCAACACCATATGTAAGGGTTGGAGAAAGGAGGTCTCCAGGTGGTTTTTCAGGCAGAAGAGAGTTTATTAGCAAAATCAAACTGCCAGCCCGCACTAGATGGAGGTATGCAGAGGGCTGATTTATGGCAGGGAGAAAGGTTATATAGGGAGAGGGCAGGAGGAGGTGTGTCCGCAATGGATACACATGTGACCTCAGAGCCTGGGGAACCTCCCACTGCCCCCAGGTGTCCCAGTTACCTGGGTTACAGGTGCTGGGTGGGGACTTCTAGGGACAGGTACATGTATGAGAGAGAACGAAGGGAGGGGACTATTTTTCTTTGGTGGACCTAACAATCATAATCAAAGCACAGGAGGTAGGACAAGATGTAGACTAGACATAGAGAGTATTGAGTTATAAGACTTTATTTAGAGGTGATGGTGGTTCACGCCTGTACTCATAGCTACTCAGGAGGCTGAGACCTGAGGATCATGGTTCAAAGCCAGCCTGGGCAGGAAAGTCCATGAGACTCTTATCTCCAATAAACCACCAGAAAACTGGAAGTCGCGCTGTGGCTCACGTGGTAGAGCGCTCACCTTGAGCTGACGAATGCAGACACAGAGTTCAAGCCCCACAACCAATTAAAAAAAAAAGAAAGAAAAGAAAAAGAAACAAAAAGACTTTATTTAGGCATTAATGTGGCGACAAGGATCAAATGATAGGGAGGGCAGGTGGAGGGAGGAAGCCACATGTCCCAGAGTTGCTACAAGGGACAAGAAGGAAAGGAGTGACAGTGAAGTGGTGTAGAGGGGAGATTCCAGAGTGCCAAAGACACATTGGCCCTTAGAATAGCTCTGGAAAAAAACTAACTGGGGCAGTGGCTTACACCCAAAAGCCTACCCACTCAGGAGGCTGAGATCAGAAGGATCATGGTTCAAGGCCAGTCTGGGCAAAGACATTTGTGAGACACTCCCTCCCTTCCAATCTCAACCAATAAAAAGTTGAGTGTGGTGATTTGTGCCTGCCATCCCAGCTCCATGGGAAGCTTACATAGGAGGGTCACAATCCAGGCTTGCTTATGCAAAAAATGAGACTCTGAAAAATAATGAAAACAGCAAGGGCTGGGGCTGGGAAGGTGGCTCAGTGGTAGAGCGCTTGCCTTGCATGCCTGAGGCCCTGGGTTCGATTCCTCAGCACCACATAAAGAAAAAAGCAGGAAGTGGTGCTGTGGCTCAAGTGATAGAGCGTTAGCCTTGAGCTGAAGAGCTGAGGGACAGCGCCCAAGCCCAGAGTTTAGGCCCCACGACCGGACCCAAAACAAACAAACAAACAAAAAAAAAAAACATCAAGGGCTGGAGAAATGGCTCAAGTAGTAGAGTACCTTGCCTAACTTTAAATCTTGTTACTATAAAAACAAACAAACAAACCAAAACAAACCCCAAACAACAACAAAACAATGATAAGCATGGAATTTGATTTAAAAAATGCAGACAAAGCTAAATAAGCATTGACTGTAAGCAAAAACTCTTTTTAAAATTCTTGTCTCTGCCCACCTCTAAAATCCTAATTTTTATTAAAGAACACACACACACACACACACACACACATATACATATATATACATATATATACATATATATATATATATACATATATATATATATATACATATATATATATATATATATATATATATATATATATTTGTTTTGTTTTTAATGTCAGTCCTGGGGCTTGAACTGAGGGTCTGTTCACTGTTTTTAGCTTTTTGCACTCAAGGCTAGTACTCTACCACTTGAGTCATAGCTTCACTTCTGAATGTTTTGCTGGTTAATTGGAGGTAAAGGTATCATGGACTTTCTTGTCTGGACTGGCTTCGACCTGCAGTCCTTAGATCTTAGCTTCCTGATGATAGAATTACAAGTGTGAGCCACCAAGCACCCAACTACATATACATATTATTAAATAAATCAAATGATTCTTTAAGACCCATGTGATGGCCAGTTTCTTGTATGGCCCCCAGCAACCCTCATCTCTTATGTTATACCTCATGCCCTTGTATCAAACCCTTCCAAATCTAATAGGACTGACAGAAAACAATGGTGTTGTGACATCTGAGGATAACCAATGATAGGTATTTCAGTTTCCACAGGTTTTCTCTGGGATTTCTCACCAAAGGGGAAGAAAACTGCCTTGGAGTGAGAGCACTTAAGCATTGCTAAAGAGCCTCTATCTATGTGGCTAGGAATGTAGCCCTCATGACATAATCTAGTCAGTATTGTGAGCTGGGTGCTAGTGGCTTATGCCTGTAATCCTAGCTACTTAAGAGGCTCAGATCTGAGGATCATGGTTCAAAGCCAGTCTGGGCAGGAAAGTCTGTGAGACTCTTATCTCTGATAAACCATCAGAAAACTATAAGTAGAGCTGTGGCTCAAAGTGGTAGAGTATAGCAAAAGAGCTGAGGGACAGAACCCAGGCTGAGTTCAAATACTACCACTGACAGAAAGAAAGAAAGAAAGAAAGAAAGAAAGAAAGAAAGAAAGAAAGAAAGAAAGAAAGAAAGAAAAAAAAAAGAAAGAAAGAAAGAAAGAAAGAAAGAAAGAAAGAAAAAGAAAGGAAGGAAGGAAGGAAGGAAGGAAGGAAGGAAGAAAGAAAGAAAGAAAGAAAGAAAGAAAGAAAGAAAGAAAGAAAGAAAGAAAGAAAGAAAGAAAGAAAGAAAGAGTGCCAGCCATGCTAGTGCACTCTTGGCAAGTGGATCTTCCAGCCACAGTTAAGACTCTGATAGATTTCAGTCCTCACGAGAATTTTTTTTTTTTTGCCAGTTCTGGGATTTGAACTCAGAGACTGGGTGCTGTTCCTTTGCTTTTTTTTCACTCAAAGTTGGTCTCTATCACTTGAGCCACAGCTTAACTTCTGGCTTTTTTTTTTTTTTTTAAAGCTTTGTGGAATTTGAGGATTTATTTGAAGCTGAGAATCATATTTTGTTGTTGTTTGTTAACTTCTGGCTTTTAAATTGAAGATAAGACTTGCCAATTAGGGGATGGGTACTGGTGGCTCATGCCTGTAATCCTAGCTACTCTGGAGGCTGAGATCAGAGGATTATTGTTTGAAGCCAGCCTAGGCAGGAGCATCCATGAGACTCCTACCTCCAATAAATTACTAAAAAAAAAAAAAAAGCAGCAGTGGTGCTGTGGCTCAAGTGGTAGTGTACTCACCTTTAGCAAAAAGAAGCTCAGGGACAGTGCCCAGGCCCAGAGTTCAAGCCCCAAGACTGGCATAAACTAATACACAAGCAAACAAAAGTCTCCAACTAGGGCTGGGAAGGTGGCTCAGTGGTAAAGCGCTTGCATTGTATGCATGAGGCCCTGGGTTCGATTCCTCAGCACCACATAAGCAGGAAAAAAAAAAAAAGCTGGAAGTGGCGCTGTGGCTCAAGTGGTAGAGCGCTAGCCTTGAGGTGAAGAGCTGAGGGACAGCACCCAGGCCCAGAGTTCAGGTCCTCGACCAGACTCCCCCCACCCCCCTCGCAAATTGAAGATAAGAGTCTCACAGACTTTGCTGCCTGGGCTGGCTCTGAGCTGCTATCCTTAGCTCTCAGCTTCTTCAGTAGTCAGAATTAACAGGTGTGAGCCACTGCACCTGACAGTAACCTCAGGAGAATTTAAACCAGAACCACCAGCCAAGCTGCTCTCAACTTCTTTTTTTTTTGGGTCCGGTTGTGGGGCCTGAACTCTGGGCCTGGGCGCTGTCCCTCAGCTCTTCAGCTCAAGGCTAGCGCTCTACCACTTGAGCCACAGCGCCACTTCCAGCTTTTTTCTCTTTGCTTATGTGGTGCTGAGGAATTGAACCCAGGGCCTCAGGCATGCAAGGCAAGCGCTCTACCACTGAGCCACCTTCCCAGCCCTGCTCTCAACTTCTTAATTCACCAATACTATGTGAGCTAACAGGT